GCAAAAACAATTGCCAATGCCTATATTTTACAAAATTTGACTGATATATGTGAAATACCTAAAGTGATGTGAGAAAAAAATGCATTGGGAAGGAAGAATCATATTCAAAGTATAGACATTTAATCTGATTTTGATTTGAAACATTTGAGTTACAGTAGCAACTGTGGCACTATACACATTTAACACATCAGAAAATGAGCCATGAGGATTTGGTAACTGCTGAATTTCTTCAGGACTCAATGCCCTTGGAAGCTGTACTTCAGGAATGATGAGGCCTTCATTGCGATAACCAGATGGATTTTCCCAGTCTATTCCATACTCATGATCAGTCTGAAGAAAAGGAAAAAAACATGAATATGGCCATTTCTTTACCAATAAACCCCCTTTGAGTAATGAAGTACATTTGGGGGTAATGCATGTACAATAAATTTCACCCTGTTCAACTACATTGTAGTGAATTGTTAGTATAAGGTACTATCATGACGTACCATGAGAAAAATCTGGCCAAGATAAAATCTAACAAACCTGCGCAGGTTCTTCCCCCTCACGCTGGTTTAGGGTCCATATCTGAAGAGGTGACTGATTGTATTCAGTTCGCAGTTTGTGGTTGTTCCACCCTTCCTTAAAGAAATCCAGGTGCCTCTGGATGTGTGGTAAAAAGCTCCAATGCAGTGCATACAGATGGATTTCATCATCTGGGTTGAGTAGGTCTTCATTTTCCATCCTGCAGAAACTGGAGTAAAAGAGATCCAATACTCCCCCAAAGACATCACGCCATAACCTCTCAATCCTGCAAAAACAAACAAAAAGCAAACATATAGTTCTGGTGCAGGCTAAGCCTCTACAGATCTTTGTGACCCAAACATTTTATAACATTTTAATATGTAATTGGATAATAAAATGAAATGTCAAAATTTGGTATGAGGAATCGTAAAAATTTAAACATTAATGATTACCTCTGATTATGCATACTTCTTCCAGTAATGTGAGAATTGCGGTCGGTTCCTCTGTGCGTCACCATATAGTGTGCCACTTCAATATTCTCCCCTCCTTTGTCAGACCGCACACGAGATGGTAGTCCAAAAGTATGAACAGCTTCCAAGAAGCAGTTCAGTACTGTTGGTGCACGGTTATTGGTGGCTGCAGACAGGTACACAAT